TCTGATGCATGTAAGGGGGACTCAGGTGGGCCTGTCATGAGGCAGCTAACCGTGGCAGACGGTACCAGACGATGGGTCCAGATTGGTATTGTCAGCTGGGGAGAGGGTTGCGCCGTAGAGGGTCGATATGGGATTTACACCAGGCTGTCGGCTTACACCGACTGGATCCAAGAACAAGTCGGTGATCAGTTGGGTAACTAGAGTAAATTTTGGGGGAGGGGGCGCTCAGGGATACACACGCAGTTGCAGGGTCACCGAGCGCCGATGCACTTATCACGTACACTGATTGTGTACACTGCTTATAGCTAAAATCGTAAATAAGAACAGGACTCTAAAAGGAGTTTAGAATATTATGCGATTACGTAATTGCATCAATAAGCGAACTAATCAGTCTGAACGTTATGCCCGTTATATGCCAACCCAACTTAATATACAGCCCGTCGACTATAAGTGTTAGTAAATCTTCAATAGGCTATGATCGTTCTTACGTAAGTACTGTATCTAAAATAAACATGATCAAACAAGGAAACCTGGAACGGTACAGTTCCGGAAGTGAAGGGTTGTTATTGAAGTCGATTTCTTTTATCCATCTCAAGGTAACTTTTCATACAATCTTACATGACGCTTTGGACACTGAAATGTTAATCCAACTTAACGTTTTCTCGAGTAAGAAATATTTTTTGTAATTATTGTCAAACGGTACAGTACAGGTCTGTGTAAACTCCCCACAGGCGAGCAACTGTATGGTTCGGAAGGTCACTGCGTGCGTGACCTCTAACGTTTGGGCTTTATCACTTGTCATCCTTTTAGGGTTTGTAATAGTTTGCCTAAAGTTTGGACGTCCATGATAATTCTGTATGCCTTTTTATAATGTTCATCAGCATCATGTTTGTTTTGAAATGTCCGTATTTGGTCGTTATACTATAAGCCTGAGAACTGGGTGACGGATTCTCTCTCTTTTTTTTTTTTTTTTTAGCCTTGTCACAGCCGGGGGGGTGGCAAAATCTGCCCCCGCCCGCAGATCTCGGCCGTAATATACGATGATGTATTTCAATGAAATTTGGCAGTGTCATAGAGGCATACATACTAATCATCTGTGTGAAATTATGTTTGAGTTAATTAAGTGTTTGCATAATTATGACTTATTATTTTTTCATGATATCAGTTTTTTATCTTCCACGATTGGCGGACGATTTTATTGCATTTTTCACATCAAAGATGTTGTATGGATTATATATTCAGTGGAAATGAAACCAGAAATGCTATGAGCTGTATACAGTAATAAACATATTAAAGTTAATTTAAACAATTAATAGACCTTCCCCAAAACAAGAGACTTCCTGACAAAAGGAAACCACTGCCTTTTGTACGATGTGCTTCTGTGTACAAAGTCAATGGTAAATTTCACATCATACTTCATCCTGCCTCATAAAATTTTTCACTGAGGGAGAACGCCACGTCCAGTTTTCATAATTTTGGGGCCAAATTGTCATACCGTACCGTAACGCAGAAATCAATCCCCAGAGATGCTATAAGCAAAAATGAACAAGAGGGAGGATTCTTGCCCCCCGGCTCTATGAGGGTTAAAGGAACTGAGCTGTCCAGAGTTTTCAGCGTGTTCCCCGCAGTCATTTTGACACCAATTTTCTAACAATCGAATCAACCGTTCTTGTGCAGCGCGCATTTTTTTTTAGAGACGGTTCGCCTAGATAATTATGTGTGCTCATGTGCACGAAGGGTGGCACGCATATAGCCTTGAACTTCTAATGACCGAATTGTTTGATTGAGTTTAACTTTCCCATTTGTGATGGAGTGCTCCGATTTCCTTTTTTATATGGGTGCCAAGTTTTAAAAATATCAAAAGAGGCACAGAGCCGAGTTCTTGGGGATAGTGGAATCCGACCGCCGGCTGAGATATGGGCTAAATATTATTGTGTCCGGCTTGTTCAGAGTTAACGTGTCACCACGATTCCTCTCTAGAGGTGACGATTAACACGAAACAGATTTTAGTTCTGCTATGAATGTGATTATTCCTCACTTTTATTATCAGTGTATTAAGCAAAATATTCGTGACCGTTACACATTTTAATGACATTAATAACGTCACGGTTCTTTCGCTTACTCAATAGTTACAGCACACGTTACTGCTTATGCAGTGCTTGGGAACATGTGTGCTTACTGATCACACATGTACCAGCCTTGGAATTGTTTGTACTGTTTTATTTTCATGTATATGCTAATCTTTTTATTACCATCTACTATACTAACCTCCCCAAATTTGTACCGGGGGTACTTGAAGTGTTTACTCCGTGCTTACTGGTCTGTGGTTTATTTCAACTGTTGCTATGGAGTCATGTAAGTAAGGTGTTTTTATTGTTTGTTTGTTTGTTTACTGTCTGTTTGTTTTTACTTTCTATGTTGCAATGGCCATCCGTCTTCTTTGTGGCAGTAGACCGGAGAAATTTGGTGGTTTCCTTAGCCAATGGAAATTTCCATATTCATGATCTAGAGCGTGATTCCATCCAAAACATAACAAGCGACTCCATAACTCGATGTACAAATAATAAATAAATCACAGTTTTCCACATTTTCTTTGAAAAAGTTTTACTTTTTTGCGTGTTAAGTAGCTTGGTTGGGCAATAACCACAATTTCTCTAAAACTTTGTCAGAAAACGTACACCGCCCGCCTTTGGCCCAAAGCTTGAGCCGGATTGGGCCTACGGACCTTCACGTTGTTGGTTCGGACGGATAAGGGATGCTCTGTCGGTCACAGTGGTTCAAATCATAGACAACCTGTAAATGATCGTGGGAACAATCTACGAGTTCACACTGTTTCTCTTTCAAAACACCATTTTCTTCGTACAGGGGAAGGGGTACTACGCAGTTGTCACCGTTAGTGAAGGTATTTAAGCTTGGCGTTCTTTTGCGCTTTTACATGGTGCTTTGTGGGGTACCGGAACAATGGGAAGATGATCCCATAGGGTACTTGTGGGGTACTGAGACGGTACCCCACAAGAATTTCACGAAAGTGATATTTGGAAATAACTCAAAAAGGGGAAATTTTTGATGGGTAAAAATCCGTCGCAAATTGAAGTGTTTAGTATAAGGGGACATACGGTCGAGTTTCAACCAAGGAAATTGAATTTGGTTTCCGTAGGAGTATTTTGAAAATTTTTGCGTATTGTGTGTGAGTAGTTTTGTACACAAGTACAAAGGAAATACTCCACAAGTGTAGCCGTGTAAGTGTGGGTGTTTGCTCCTTTGTCTTTTTTCGTACACTCAAAAAATAGCCGAAGTACGTGGTTAATATACCTTTACTGGGGTTCTTTAGATGTAGGGCCTATCAGATGGGGTCGATGATCTCATCTTATAGATCCGTCCCCAACTACATTTCCGTAAAACTTAATCTCAACATACTAGTCGCTTTTAGTGGACACTCTCCACTATCGTACCCTTCGGGTGTGTGATTGTAGACTTGTAAATTTTACCTCTTCGAAATCATTTATCTGTCTCATCCGTAGTTCAAAGTTACGGCAACGGTTGTACATGCCCTCAGAGATAGGAGTCGTTTACATGCCTATTGAGGGCGCTACTTCAATTGCACTCTCTGTGGTCCGTTCTTGCGTACCGCGTGTGGACGAAGTATTCACAACCGGAAACGGATACACTTATGGTAAATTATACTTACATCACCATTAGCCTTAGTCACGGACACGTGTTCATGTACACCAACATGTACATGCATGTACAAGTACATGTGTCATGTGGTCATGAACGATGTTCGTGCAGGTAGCCCGTAATGCTCAAGTTACAGTGAAGCCAGGATCAAGGGGAGCAGGGTATCGATACATAAACTTACATTGTACAACTGCTGAAAGTATGGCTGCCTCAGAGGAAAACATGGAAAAGAAGGAAAGACTGTGTCCTGCAGTGTTTCAGGTAAGTGTCTTTCAAGTTTTTCTACGACATGTACGATTATTTATGGAGCAAGGTACGAGCGGCCTTGTCGAACATGGTCCAAATTTGGGCTGTGAACGGGGCGCAGTGGCGAGTGCCCCTCTGTTGACATTTTGTCTTTACCATAATTATGCAGTGGCTATCATGGCTATTGTTACGTGAGTTTGTTCAGACAGGTTGAATCTGCCAATTTTTTCACACTAGTTGGGTGCATTGGTAAAAGGAACCAGATGAGTCTGCAATGGATGGATTTTGGACTTCTTCTTTCCCTGAAAAAAAATGGAAATTACAATGTAAAACATAGATTTATTGTGCACTAGTCATACATGACTGTTGCCATCACAGCCCTAATTCAGTGTAGGACATTAATGCCGGGAAGTCTTACTGCAGAATTGTCTCAAGTTTGAATCCTAATCATGCTTTTACCTGATCTGGGATGTAGGTCTGTGGGCTGATCGCCATTTAAAAAATAATACCTGGATGTCTCAGAACGATGGTGGAGCATCTGTGCTTAGAAAGTCAAGGTAGGCCTACCTGGTGCTGTGTGATGTGTAATTCACATGCGAAGCACCTGTCTGGTGCCTTGACTTCCTATTCAGAGACATGCTATTCTGCAGTTAAGATTCCAGGCATTAATGTCCTACATTGAAGTAAGGTTGTGATGGAGACAGTATAAAAGACAAATGTTAAAAGAGAGCCATTCACAGCCTTACTGTATGCATGGAGCTACATCCTGGTAACTGCGATCCAAACTTGGACCCCACAAATTGCCTTTGTAAACACTTGGACATGTTTGATGTGCACTCAATGTTTAAAAAGGGGATTTGCGAAGGGTACAAAGTGCCTTTGCGACTCCTCCCTCCTGGAGAGAAAGTGTTCCGTGTGTACAGTATGTTGGACGCAACCAGTCCGAGTGTTTGGGCAATCGTTTTGTGATCTATTGATGTTATTGCATGATGAAGGGATAATTCCACCATCAGCCAATCAAGTAAAGTTCAGATATTTCATACAGCAAGAACAGAATCGACTCATAATTTGTCAGGTCATCAACACTTTAATGTAATGCAGACTATCTGCTTCATTGGAGCATAAACACATCCAGATTTTGTAATGAGGCAGTGAGATCGAACAACTGTGCTGATTGACCAGCGGTTCTCAATGTGCCTACTTGATTAGGCCTACCATTTTAGACCATGTAGGCCCAGTATTGCCAAAGTAGTCAGAGTAGCATTTGGCCTGTGACCCTACAGATTGCCTCTTTATGTATCTTTTATGCCTCTTTTGTATCCTGAACAAAACAAAATGACTTTTTCATTGCCCAGTAAAGATCAGGTTGGGACTGAAATTTTGCTTTTCACTGACACTACATTTAGAATTAGCATGTGCCTACAATTTTTTTTAAATTTTATTTGCATTTCTGGTGACAATTTGCAGCATAGACATACATGTGCATGTATAATTGTTAATGGTGTAAGTGAAGCCTCTACTCCATTTACCCAACAAAAGGAGTCCCCCTCCCCCGTCGAAAAGGGAGGCTTGTGGGGAACATGTCAAATGAACATTCAATTGCTGTACATGTGCCTTCTAACAGAAAATTGGTCAGCATGTGCTCAACATGGCCATCACCTGACCACAAAGTGGACCTCTATATGGGGAAGAATCTGTATCCAAGCCACAAAAATTCTCACAAGCTTTAATAAGTTTTGAAGAATCAAGTAAGGAAAAGAGACAGCCTATCTAAGGGGAACAAGTTGAAAACCTACATGTAGGGTGCAGGACAGAATTCCACCTCAGACAAACGAAAACACCAAACAGTTAACCTGTTACATGAAACTGTGTACTTTGCCAAGCCTATATTCCTGTGGTACTGAAACCCCCAAATACACCGATGCTGTTTTTGAACTCTTCACTGCTTGTGACACTCCAAAATTGTGATGGTCTGATGTGGAATTCCTCCCTGTTTTGTGGATTCGGGTATTTCTGACAGAGGCTGGACACTGCTCTGTAAAAACACTCCATTGGCTGCTGATGAGATTGCCTCAGCGCTCTGGTTGCTGAGGTAGAGCCCAAACTTTGATGGCAGTTTGTTAGTTCGGTTCTGATTTTTTCTTCCACTTGATGCAGTATGGTCCAGCCAGTGTGCGAGATCTTGAACCAGGCAAGAAGAAGAAGTGGTGCACTTGTGGGCTGAGTAAGAAGCAACCCTGGTGTGATGGTGAGGGAGAAATTTGTCCCAATATTGTTGGCATAAAACAGTACAAGAACTTGGAGATCCAAAAGTTACCTTGCTATACATGTAAGCTCGATGTTGTATCAGCAGTTGGTACACATGGCATCATGTACATGTACAACGTAATGACTGTTCTCATGGTTCATTTTACTGATATTTTTGACTCTTTAACTGGTGATGAACTATATTGATAGAAATGCTGTGTCCCCTTACATTACTTTTATGATTCATTGATTCCAGGAAAACACAAAGGCACAGGCTTCAAATCTCTCAAGTGGGTTGTCCCAGAGAAACCACAGAGTGTGTACTCCATCTGCCTGTGCAAGCACACCAAAAATCCGCCCTTTTGTGACGGCACCCACACCAACCTGCCTGCACTGGTGGAACAAGCCCAGGCCTCCTGCCCACTGAAAGGCGAGCACCAGACCGCCTGCCCAAAGCTCTGCACCCAGTGTGGCTGGGTGCCTGACTTTTGATGGTGGGCTTTGCTCTTTTGTGGCTGCTTGTCAGTGTTTTCGGTTGTTTCTGGAAATAACACATTCACTATTGCAAGACATAAGCTAGCGGCTAGAGCCACTTTCCATAGACATGTGTATTATTACTAGCCACAGTCAGCTGATGTAGACATAGCTGTGGCTAGAAATACTGCAGGCATTTTGGAAGCCCTGGGCAAGCGGTTACAGCCGCTTCTGATCGACACGTACATGTATGTAACTCCTGGCTACAAAAGCTGACTCGTACATCCCGTTACTGGAAATAGCATAGGTATCAAAGAAAACCACTGACAAGCAGTTGTAGACACTTCCAATAGATGTGTTTGTTATGCCCAGCCAGAGCCAGTTGATAGGGACACAGCTGTGGCTGGAAGTAACCTAGGTACTAATGGAATTGGAAGTGACTTGCTGTTACCTCATTACTCAGATTCACAGCCAGTTTACTCAGACATAGCCTTACCACAAACTTCAAGTCTACCAGAAAAAGCTCTCTATTTTTACTTTAATTTGTAAAAAATAACAACAAATACAACAAGCTTTTCCCAGTTTTTGCAAATTAAAAGTGAGGGGAAAGAATTTCAAGGAGTGCCAAATAAAAAAATACATACACGTAATAAAACTTAAGGAAGCAACTTTTAAAAAAAAAAAATTAAGAAAACAAAAAGTTACCGAACAAATTAGGGAAAAAAAATGAAATTGAGCACAAGGCAAACTAAATGACAATTAATGCCCCTTTCATTGGAAGTGAAAAAGGAAATAAAACAGTGAAATTCAGGGAAGTCCTTAAGATAGAAATGTCTACTTTGAAATAAATGGAACCATGTCAGCTACTTCTGGTCAATTAAAATAAAGACAAAGAGCTAAAAGATTTTGTTTACAGAACTTATGTAGAAAGCAATTCATTTGCATATACATGTATTCATAATATTAATTACTCAGTTTGCAATGCTTGCAATTGGGTCATTCTATAAATTAGGGGTCAAATTTTTGTTTGTTCCTGCCAAGTCTGACATACGATTTTGTTATTCAGAACACATTCTCTAATTTTGGAGAGTAACGAATTGATGCAAAGATTTTGCCAAACAAATTGAAAGAGTTTAAATCAATTTCAGGAATATTTCCATGTCAGAATACACAGGCCAGGTGTAACAGGAACACAAAAATGTCCCACTTTTGGACCCCAAATTCATAGAACTACCCAAGTTCATTTAATAATGGTATCACTCTAAAAGCAAAATGAAATGAATGCTTGAATGCTGTATAGATACTTTTCGCTTCTTTCGGAAGGGAGAAAGAATGATATGCCTTCAAAAAGTCTTTGACTTTTCAATCACAATCTAAATATATGTGTGTATGTTCAAAATAGGGGAGAGAATGCTTTTTAATGCAAAAAAAAAGATCAATCTCTTTTATCAAATACAAGGCAATTAAATTCCTTAACTAAAAGTACTGTTTCTGTTTTTATTTTAATGCCTTCTTTCCATAAAAAAGCAAAACTATGGTAGAAATGAATTTATATGTCATCACGTATTAGGTCTGATTTTATTGTTGCTGGCAAGAGAAGTAATTCAGCCCTGCGTCACACTTAATACATATCTTCAAAATGCACCTGTGTGTCTCAGATAACATTACTTTCAGATTGTATTTCACTTTGCAAACGGTATTTTACTGCCCTTTTGGTTTTTATGCTAATGATATTTATACTTTCATGAGCAAAACTGTGATGAAGCCTCAGTGTTTTACATTGTCTTGTATACATGAAAAATGCTCCGACATATTTGTGTAAATTTTGCTGGAATAAATTTACTCTTTGCTTATTCATTGTGTTTATGTGCATAGCAATTAGCAATCATCAATATCTTAGAAATTGGTTTCAGGAAGGACATTTAGAGTTTACTACTCAAAGAAACCTTTGCACTAAACTATACAGACGTAGTAACTGAAGTGGACAACACCCTCCACTGCCTTTCCGTAAAGGAAGGAGTTGAGGGCGCTATTTCATTTGTAAATCGTCCACTCGTGTACATCATTATCACAGACATACAAACGCATCACACATGCTCTAAAATTTGTCACAGCAACTGCGCCCTCAGTAGCCCAGGAAAGTATGGATAATGTGCATTTAAAGTGCACTTTAAATGCATTTAACCAAACTTTTAATTGAAATGTAAAAGAGTTTTTATACAATGAAGAAGTGTACAAAAGTCCAGAAAAAACTGCTTCTTGGAGAAATTCATTGCAGCTACTCTTTAAAGGTCCGTGGAATTCAATTGTTTTACGAGAGTCTTTGAAAATGCACCTTTTACTGTGTTTCAATTATCGAAATTCATACCAATGCAGATTTCCATATTCATCAGTTCATCAGCAAAATTATGCTGTCGTCCAAAGGAAAATACCCAATGTGCATTTATTTGCCAAAAAAAAAGAAAGAAAACAAAGCGGAATTTTTGACATTTTTTCCTATCCTAACTTTCCGTCTCTGTGATGATTTGTTGTGTAATACATGGCAATAGGCCAGTGAGTAACCCTTTCTCAGAAATGTTTGCCATGGGCAAATATAAGCTTCCCAAGTTGAGCAGACAAAATACTTAAACTGATCAATGTGTTCCCGATTGCATGGACTTATAGTTATTAAAGTGTAATTTATCAAAAGGATGTCGAATAGTTTCCATACACAGAAGAAGAGCACATGTATAAAGAAAACCAAGAAGTCTGTCTGAGAAAAATTCCTTGCACCGACCCTTGTTATGAGCTTTATTCGCGTATAAGCTCCTCTAGAAACAGGCCTGCGCTTTGTGTATTTTACTATTTCGATGCACATTGTAACCGACGCTCATTTTCTTGGTCCCATCGCAAATTTTCTCTTTCGTTCGTCTCTGGTCTGTATCTACCCCTCTGTGACGAGACATTTCTCCCCTGCACTCTTTAAAGACCCAATGCAAGAATGTGCAGAACAGACATATGCACGGGGAGAGGGGTGAGGGGCAGAAAACAAAGTCAGAAGCTGGCGCGCGTCACACCTCCCATAATAGCGGTGGGTAGGCAAGGCATAGCAAAAAGATTTGCTCAGGTATGGTCATGGATGTGCCGATATTTGATTTTCACAAGCCGCTAGATTGATTAAACATTTCATCCCTGCCTTTGTCTTGTCCACCAGTGAGGAGGCATTCGTGTACATGCAGATTACCCGTAATTAAAAATCCCAAACAGCAGTGAACAATCCCTGACTGATACTAGGAGCAATCCAATGTATATTGCAAGTAGGCCTATGTCTTGCATTTTGGAAACCTCATTTGGGTGTCACATTTTCACTGAGGTATTGTTGAACCAATGCCAGCAGCGGCCGGCCTTCCGAATTTTAGAGAGTTTACGTTGCCATGCGGGCAGAACATGTAGTCGCAATCCTATCATCTGAAATGAAGTTCCAGCTTTCTTCAGTGAAACTCAATGTACCATAAACTAACTAGGCCATTCGCTGATTTGATAAGCATCTGTTGTTTTCAGCAAACTCCAACTTTAACGGGCAAATTTTACACCATCTCTAGCTGCAGTCGCCTCTCCCATTTGAATCAGGCCCTTTTCGTTCAGTACAGTTTACAGTAACCTCGTATTAACATTCCCACAGACTTGAAATGTTATCGTGTTTTTGCTCTACAGTTGTGATTGATTCCCTTTCCCCCGGAACATTATTAGATGCATGATATTTATGTTCATTGCCTTGAACCTGTGCCGATCCCTGGGGGTTGGACCTTTGCATCCAACCAGTGCATAAATCGTTGGTTGTGATGAAACTTATGACTTTCTATTTTCTGGGAAATGTTGAGAGCCTCTACCAAGCTGAAGTGAATAACCCGTGCAGGGGGATGTAAACAAGCTGTTCCGTGCCATTAAGTGTCAGAGATGGATCTAGTTCAAGTTGATTTGTTATCTCCCCTGTGGATAGTTGTTATGTATTACACGTATACAGAGTGCTCGGAAACGTATCTGAAAAGGTTTTGCTGCAGGCATCGGACGAAGGACTATAAGTAGTCCATCAAAATTCTTTGGTGAAAGTGCAGGCATTTGTGAATACTCTAACTGTCTTCGTTCTTTCAGTTCTTCCGATAGGAAAGGTCGGCGGTGAAATAATCGGAAAGGCAGGACACACCATGGTGAAGGTCTGCCTGCTTGTCGTCTGCGCAGTCGTCCAGCTTCTCGTTGCCGCACAAGCGTGAGTATACTACCTTCTTTCATTGAAATCCTAGATATCTTGTCTCAGGTCCCAGCAATCCCTAGACCCCCCTTAAATTGTCATACAGAACCACGCACACAAATGCCTATCTCTACCCCCACTTCTGTCCTTCCCCAGTTGGCAGTGCCCCTTTATGGTAGTACATGTACCCAGTAAATCGCACTAAAAGGAAAAAAAAACACCTCCGTCAAATACCTAGTCACTGATCGCGTTCAGTGTCACGAAGTTCAGATTTTGTTTAAAAGAAAAAGGTACGCTGTTGGCTTATTGCACATTTTGCCCCCGCAAAGCCGCTGTGGGAAATTCACCACCGATTGCGTGACTTGGCAAGGAGAACTCCAGTATTCTCTTAGATAAAGCTCACGTTTCCAATTTTCCCGAGTGCAAGGTTAGTTTAAATAATTTCAAGATATCTGTAAATGAACTTGTGAGAAATGTATGAATTGATTTTACTTTCGATTTTAAAACAAATCGTGAGTGAGTATTAGGCCAACTTTTTTACCTGTAACGAAATCACTGCACCCATTCTTCTGAGAATTGATAGCATATAAATGCAAATCTACCCAATGACCCTTTAAAATGGGGAAATGAGGATCAGAGAGAGGCTTAAATGGGCCCTAAATCTGTGCTTTTGAAAGGTTTGTATCAGAATGTACTTTCAAGCGGCTGTAGCTAGTGGGATGCATTAAGTAATGTTTGTTCCAGCGGTTGCTCTCTCGTGTATTCTCTCTTTAACAGTGCCATATCGGAAAATACAAAACAAGTAGAAAATTTTCCGAAGAGTGTGTCTTGTCATGTGTAAAACAAAGTAAAATTTTGCTGGGTTAGACTGCTTATGACTGGCTGACTATCAGATCACAACTGCCAATTCAAAAACACGAGTCTCAATCGACAATGTAGTACACTTGCTCAGCAAAAATTGCGCATTTGCGATAAAAGCATAAAGTTGAAAACATAATTTAACCCTAACCCTCCTCAATCCTTCACCTGTTGGAGGACTGAGGAGTGTTAGGGTTAAAAGTGGACAACCGGTTTTAGATAAAGCCCAAACTTTTTCCCTGCTTTGTCCCCGAACCCAGATACGTACGCCACTTTCTACAGCTTTGTCTTTCGTGAAACCCCTGCCTCTCCCAATCGTGAATTTGGACCTGGTTAGTCTGCACTCTCCCTCCCTCTCTATCTGCGAAACAATTTACACTTTTTAAATACACATGTTCTGATGCAGTGCCCAGTATTTCATCGTAGCGCCAAATGTCGTCCGCGTGGCTGTTGAGGAAACCATTCTCGTCAGTGTCCGTGGAACCGGTGCCAACCAGATTCCGGTGACGCTTTATTTCCAAGTGGCCTGGAGCACCGATCGGATCTCGGAGAGGACCATCTTGGTTACTGAAAGTATGTGTGAAATAAGAAACAAGTCGCATGTTTGCTTTGGGTATATATTGAGTGTATTTGTGGTTTTATGTGATTTCAACACTTTGTCAGTATTGCTTTGAGTGTTTTTAAAATTACTGTTTTTTTATGAAACAGATGTTTTATGCATTTGTGACTTTTATAGCCTTCCTATATCTGAAGTTGGTGTATCTGTTTCTTTTGTTGTGTGTGGATTATTGTACAGCCTTGTGGAAAATGTTCGTTGATAATATTTACGGGCTTCCTTGGTTTACCCAGTGCAAAATGTTAAAGGTTACTTACATGGCTATAATGCGATTTTATGTATCCGCTGGAGTAACAGGCGTAAGATGAAAGTTTCAAAAATTATCAATATTCAGGCCAATCAATCTTCATATAGAAAACATACGCAAGGCTGATTTTACGAGTCAACTAGAATTTGTATTGGCATTCAACCTCTCTACTTCTTTGACGCAAGTCTTTTAATCGGTCAGGTGGCTGGTTATTTCATAGTTCAGTCTCTTTGTTTGAAACGGAATTGATAGATGATTGGCCTATTAGCCTAATCAAACAGCTGAAGTGTCACCATGCGTTTAATTTTACACTTATTACGTTGTTATATCAAGGGAAGATCCAACATGAAGTTTGAGTAGGCATTGTGGAAGTGGGGTTGAGGAATTCTTTCTCAGGAGTGGGGCTGAATTTGGGGAATTTGTTTACACTTTTGACCGAAGAAAGTGGGCAAAATCCCTGAAAAGGTCTTTTTGGCTTAAAAAAATAAATGGGTTTGTGGGGCCCTTCAATCTGCTGATGGTTGCAATTATCCGTTGGAAAACGTGGGTTATTCGTTATCAGATGAACCACAAGTTGCTGTGCTGACCATCCATGGGGACCAGTTGCCAGAGTTACCAACAGGCGGGCAGCAATTCGTCACATTGGTGGCCACTGCCAATTCTGCTCAACTCACATTCCAGGACCTACGCCCGATTCTACTGAGCTACCAGGCTGGCTTCGCCTTCATCCAGACGGACAAGCCACTCTACACACCTAAACAAGATGGTAAGGGCAGCAGGCAAAGCCTTGCGTATTTGTTCTCGTTTTTGGAGTGTAGGTTGGGTTGGCTTTAAGTCTTCCCAAATCTCAATTGAATGCCTTAGTTATGAAATCATTCCATTCGATTGTTCAGTGAGTTTCAACAAGGGGTCACAGTGTTTTATCTTTAAGAGGAGGTTTAGCGGTGTAGTGTTTCTCAGTATGATAAGGCAGGTTAAGTGTGCTCGCTGCTTAAATGCCTATTCCCAAGAGTCTTTCCTTTTTCTGTTCCATACCCATTAAGGGCGCGTCTTTCGAATTTCTAATGTAATTTCTGCTGATTTTTTTTTAGTTGTAAAAATTGACACATTTTGTTTTGCCGATCCGTGGTGTAATTTACTAATTTATGCATAGTACGTTTGGAAGGGTTGCGAAATAAATGCAAGATTTTGTTCGGTGGTATTCCAACTCACGACTCCAGCTCTCTCTGTGCCGAAGTAACAAGCACTAGACAATCCGACTTCTACGTTTGATGATCAGTCGGTAGTTAAGTTTAGGCTGTGCAGGGGGTATCTCCATTTGTACAAGTGCCATCCTACTCGATGCAGATATTACCTTCAGTAATTGGAAAATTTGCATGTTTGCAAGTTCTATCTCCTCCCAATAAAGTTACAATGGGGTTCCGTCCCCAAGCTGTCGGTAATTGCCGAGCACACTGCACATCCTAAAACCGGAAGCATTTATCAACAGTGTTTGGATGGAGTATCCGCTGCTTGCTCTATCGGTTTCAACCTGCTAGCCTGACTCTGACATTCGATATATACCATGTTGACTTGAGGCTATCATTCCTTTCGCTTTCAATACAGTTAACATTCGTGTTGTGACCCTGGATCAGAACATGGCGCCGATGAATGATGAGGTAAGATGATCGTCACATTTTTGTTCCCTTAACCTCACATTTAATGGGGTTAAGGCTGATCATGTTATGGTTTTTGAGAAACCTTTCAATTTTTAAGTTGCATTTGCCGTTGCATTCTGCCGTCGCTGCTGTTGTTTTGTTATTTTTATAGTTGTTGTTGTTTTGTTGTTTTAGACTAAATTAATGTGTTTTGTAAACCGTAGTAACCATTCTAATGAAACAAACGGAGTCCTGGTCCAGAGGACCAGTGGTATATTTGTATAGATTTGTCGTTGATCACTTTGTCAGTGGTGTTGCTGTCGTGGTTGACGACAGCGTCCTTTGCGTCAGTGTCATTGCTGTTTCTGCTCTTTTTAATGCCCTTGTTGAAATAACATGTACCAATTGGACCTTGCCCGTCGATCATTCCATTCGCACCGTTCTCTTTTCAAATAGTTGGGAGTCGACATTATCAACCCAGATGGGTTAACTGTGGAGAGAAACAGGAGAAGACCCAATGGGGGTTTTATGACCCACTTTTTCTCCCTCCCTCCGAACCCCGTCTTAGGAAGCTGGACGGTGACCGCTTATTATGGGCATCAGGTGAGGTTTCAGTATCCCTTCTTCAGGCCTACGTGTTTGTTGTAAGTGCTTTATGTGCAAAATGTGTATGACAGAAATTTCTCATGAAGAAAAACTGTTCGTGGCAAGATATTGACCGAACAAATGTAAGGGGTTGTGGGTTTGAGTCCCACCCGTTAATGTTTGTTCGCCCATGCTCTCAGAAAAAAACTGCCAGCTATGATGGGCACGTGATGGGCACGATATGCCACAACACGTGTTCATTTCACGATGGGGATCACTAATTGCACTCATATCAAGGTCCACTTTTAGTGGATCTCGGCGTCTGCACTGGATTGCCAATTCAGAAGGGGTTCAGTGAAGTAATGTTTCAACCCCCCCCCCAAAAAAAAAAACCAGCAAGCTGGAGCCGCTCGATTCATAACAAGCACATATTTTTCTAATTTCAGTTCAAAAGTAACTCATCGATCCAGTTTGAGGTAAAAGAGTACGGTAAGTTTAAAAAAACTTTCGAGGGTGAGGCCGGATGAAACGAACATCAGTGCATAACGAAAGGAATTTTGGCTTTGTTTCCAGAAAGTTAGGGCCGTTAGTGTCGGCAGCATGTTTTTTAGGGTTCCGGGGAGGGGGGCAAAACACACACCAGTAGCAAACTAATAGACAGAATGAGTGAACGATGGAATGTATTACTTCCTGGTTTCTCTTTAGCAAACCGGTGATTTTCTTGCTCGCGACACCCATCCCCGAATAGCCCCTGTTACTTTATAAGAGCGAGTTTGGAAGCTGCTTTCACACTCAACTCCACTCATGACTTTGTCATCCAGGCAGTTGCTGAGGCATTAAGTTTACTTGCCGTTTGGGGGAGGGGTTTCGTTTTGTGAGAGAAAGCACAGTCATTGCCGATAATAGAAGGTGATTCCAATAGAATATCAATCAGGGTATATTGGACAGTTTAAATCAGGAATATTTGAATCACTGGTTCAGATTTGTCCTGCTTTCCAGTACTGTCGAAGTTCTACGTCGAGGTCACCCCCCACTCGATGTATATTGTGCCGGGAACAGAGAACCTCGTCAGCAGAGTGACCGCAAGGTACGATTAAAACACAGTTGTATGGATATTTGGGCGACAAAAATAGACGTGTTATCTTGCTTAGGAGACCACTTAGATTTTTTTTTACTTTGAACACCACCAACCGGAGTAACTAATGGTCAAAATATAATGTTTCTGTGTTTGTTCAACCATTTCCAGGTTGATTTGTCCTTGGTTGTGCTACAAGTTACACGTGTTTCTATTGTATCTTATGTTAGAATTGGTAACTAGCTCGAGTGTGCTGTTCTACAATCACGCAGGCCTTTTGGCTTTAAACCGGTTCAGGAATTTGAATAAGCTCCATGTTATTTCGCTTATGCAGTTTTGTAGGAACTGACTCGAATCTCTCAGGAATTAGATCCGTTTCCCCCCTTTTTTCAGGTACATGTTTGGAGAGCCAGTAGTTGGCAACTTCTATGTGATCTACGGAGTGTTTGAGGACGATGGTAGTCTTTTTAAACTGCAGTCGAAAGAAGGCCGGGTAACTATACATACGAAAACACCATCTCAGCTTTGACATGGAATGTAACATTTATAGCAACAGACGTTTAATTAGAAAAATCCAAAGAAGGACTGGGTCGCATTAATAATGTACGCAGTGCCATCTTCCACCATGTTCATGGTTGGGAAAAATAAAGGAAAAGTTGGATTGAGAATACCCCCTTTCCTACCGGTACTTATAGTTTTATATCAGAAAGCGCAGTCTCACCTCCAATTTAATGAACAGATGTGTTTGAAGTAGAATGTAAACCAAACTACATGTATTGGGATTGGGTTTTTTGCCTAGGGAAGTCGAGCTCATTGCAAAGTGATCATTGAGATAATATGCCATGTTATAATGAGACATAAAAACGTGAAGAGTTACCGACTGCCTATGTACAGCAAAAGTATTACTTAGAGTGGCATTTGCCCTCCTGGTGAGTTATGTTTTGTAGTTGAGTACTGTTCGGCTTTGAAAACCTTTAATTTCGGTCACAGTTAAATGAGGAAGGTCGTGCTGATCAGGACCTGGATTTGGGCGACTTGGAAGTCGTGAACTGGGCTGAGATACTGATGGGCAAGCGGCTGATCATCCAGGCCTTCGTCACAGACAGGGCCTCAGGCGAGACCGTCAATGCCAACAACACCATGGTGACCTTCAGCCCGACACCCTACACGTTCAACTGGGACCTCACCCAGCGATACTTCAAGCCTGGATTGTCGTTCACCGTCAAGGTGTGTGGAGGTATTTATTATTTTCTTTCATGGTGACCCCCTGCAACAGGTGGTGGGCTGAACATTGCTCTTCAGCGTAGGGGATTCTGTTCTGTCATAATTTTCATATTATACTGTTCCAGTTCAGAAATTCTGTTTTACTTTTTTAACATCATTTTCACCATTAAATTTATTAGGAGTTATTTTGCTGAACAATTATCACGTTTAGTATTCATTTAGCAGTAAAGGGTATACTGATTATTTCTGGTACCCCTTTTGGTAAAAGGCCCTAGAGCCTTATTCAAGTTTTCCATGTTAGAAGTGGGTTAAGAGATCGGCGATGTTTACCAATGCAAAATTAAGGCAATGAAGTGTTAGTAGATTTAAATGATATGTGTTGTATAGACTGTATATCATGTATGAATCCAACAAGATTCAACGCAGTATGCACATTTATATGCAACACAATATGAACATTTCTGAATGATGTCCATTCTTCTGTGGTCACAGCGTATAATGTTGATATATTCATGACAAAATGAAGGTGTCACTTCTCAGTCGTTTTGCTTCCATCTTCCATTCTCTTTCTTTTTAAAGGCATGTATTCGATACATGAATGGCCTCCCGGCTGACGGTGTGCGGGTGATAATGTCGGCCACAGCTACACGGCAAAATGGTGCAAACGTCAATTTGCCTGGTGGTTACGCCGATGACGCATCGCGTAAGCTGTCGGGTCCACAGGGTCAGCTAGACTTCACGCTGAATATGCCTGCTGACACCACCATGGTATCAGTCTCAGTAAGTCTTGGGGACACGTACACGATAAAACCTCTGTGGAGGTTTTGAACGGGGAGTACACCTTTTTCGTTGTTGCTTGAGTAGTGGCTTGGACCGAATTCTCCAAGAGGCACAATATAAAAACCAACTAAAACAGGTACCCTCTCGGTAATACATTTGCTGTCAACCAAAAACGAAAGTATCTGCATATATTTTTCAGAGTCCCTATGATTTTTTGTTTACTTTTGTTTTAGTTGGGGGAGCCTAAAACTACGTAACATCATTGCAAGGCGGTAAAGCTAGCCACCACAGAGAGGGATTTTACATTAGCGCAGTCAAATGTGCACCGAAACCGAGGCTCTCTGTGTTGAACTTTGTTGCGCGCCTGCGGAGTCCACACAGTACATGAAGTATATCGACAAGAATATAAGATTAAATCAGTGCTCTGAAATATATGATTGCCAATCATATATTTCAGAGCACTAATTTAATCTTATAATCTTGTCGATATTCTGATCACGGTGCTACGCAGCCCTTCCTTATTTCTCAGTACATACAGTATCCGGTTTGTAAGTGTGACACCACTTCAGTTTAAACTTCGCCCACTGCACAAAATACACGACCATCGCAGGTACGTTAGTTCGTAGTAAATTGTCGTTATTTTTTCTTTTAATTTTACGTGTCGAGTCACCCTGAAAGACTCTGGCACAAAAATTTGCAGCCTGAAAAGTCAGAATCTAACATACATTTATGTATTTTGTGTCCTGACTCCTTACTTTCAATCGTCTGATTGTTTTAAGAATTGAAGCTGACACATACAGCCTCGTTTTTAAACGCGGAAGTGCGCAGATCGACGCCAAAGGCGGCGTATTGGGATCCCTCTATCGATAATGGTAACTAGCCTAACGTGGGGCCCACGAAACACTGGTGCCAATAGCTAATGAGACGCTATAACTCTTGCTGGTGTGAGGTTGTGGCTAGGTTTGCGGCTAGGTCGTGGGTGGGGGGATTTCAGTCGGGCCTTTCACTGATGTAAAGAAGCGGCGTAACCAGTATTGTCATAATTGGGAGGAGCGTTTGTGTGTAAAAAACCCTGGTCAGCTTTTGCCCAATGTTGGGTACCAGGTGAATCGCCTAATTGTTGTGCAGATAGATTACCAAACTGCATTGATTCTCTCCCAGAATATTGGGCAAATTTGCCGTATTTTACCCTGTACATCCATTTTTTATCCAGTGGTTTTTTGCCCCTCCCCCAAATTGCCAGGCGTTGTAGATTTAGGCCGGTTTTACTCGAACATCAAGTTTCCGTTTTCGTGATTAGATTTTGGGAGGGGACTGTAATCCCCTTCCATTTGCGATGCTACTTTCCTGTTGTTTGACATTTGTTGTTTGACAACAGCTTTGCTGTTGTTTGACATTTTACTGACAAAATGTGTTTTCTTTGCCATTTGCAGTTGGAGACAGACGAACCGTACTTCGTAGATGCAAACACACGCGACACAATATTTATCCAGCCGCAATTCCCGAACGCCAATCGCGAATACATGGTGGTACGCCTGCCATCTCAAGATATCAGACAAACTCCACAGGTATCTGTATTATTTGACAATTAATAAAACTCTCCAGTTCAAATCAGCAGCATCTGGTGTTGGTGCTGAACATTTTAACATTGAAAAACATAGCTCTCTAGGTCATATACAAAAGTGATAAAAAGACCTCAGGCGGCAGACTCGTTATGTATATATGAATGACAAATTCAAATGCATTTTGTGTGCATGATTCATATCTAGAATCTGTGGTGGTCAGGATGTTCTGCATATAGCTATAGCCGCGCTCAGTCCAAACTAGGAAACCCCACGATTATGCGTGGCTCCGGTCAGAATTACAAAAAGAACATTAATGGTTGAGGAAGGGAGCTGAATCCGGTGAACACTATTTGGGCATCGTTCAAAAACTTCAGGCTTTTATGTACCGCTTCCTTCAGGCCCTTCTCTAGAAGGTATTTACCAATGAAGATGGTGCAATATGGGCTTCCCCTGTTTCCCAACATGACTGGCTTAATGCGACCCTCCCCTGCGAGCAGCCACGCCCGTCAAATTACACTGAGTTGTCAAGTGGATAAAATAAATCCAGGTCGTTTCCTAGTGATGTCTGTAGCGCTTTGCACCGACGAACTTGTAAGACTGTTGGTTGCTATGAAATACACCCACGAGCTCCACGCACGTGTCTGTTAATAAAGAGATCCACTTACTGCACGAGGCCGTATGGGGCTTCCTGGGAGTACTGGTCGTGCAATAGGCCATACTCTGCAGTGTTCAGGTTAAAGGGACTTGGCAGTCTTGAAGCACAGTAGTACCTGTAGATTTGCAAAACATTTAAGTTTAATTCGTCAAAAAATAAAAAAAGTTTTTGAAAAAATACGAAATCTAGGATGCAGGTTTTTTTTTTATCCACGCCACCTATTTAAGGGTAATTATCTCCTACTCCAGCGACTTCCGGTGTGAATAACCTGTCTGTTTTGATTTATGTTTATACATTGTCAGATTGGATGGCTCAGTTCGGTAGAAGCTCAACTGACGCACCCACAGAATGTCGACGTATTGAACTACTTCGTAAGTGGTTTTCCCCTACATAACGTAATTAATTTAATGTATAGCCACACGCCTCTCCGGCACTGAGCGAGCATCTAACAGAAAACCAACCTTGTGAACATTCAGAAAAGGATTACGATAACTGAGTCTGCCTTGGGAAGCATTCGTTAGAATGCTATCAGTTTCATCTGAAAGCGAAACTCCTTGACTACAAGCGCATTAAGTACTGTGCACCGAGCCAGAGAGCCGTCGAACAAATGCTCATGATAATGTTGCAATTACGCTTAACAGTGAAATTGTTGGTATACGGTGAACGATGGGGCACTTCAATTCTCATCTTCAGACATAGGCAAGAATGGATGGGAATGGAGCATTGTTATCTCAATCTGTGGACACAGAATACAGGCTCATTTGTTGCACTTTCCCTAATTCTTACAGGTGATTGCTGGGGGGAGGATAGTGCACAAGGGCGTCAAGGACCTGGTCAACTTGAACACAGCCCTTGATTTCATGGTCACCCATGACATGGCCCCCTCGGCACGAGTGGTCGCCTACTACATCAAGGATGATGGCCACGTCGTTGCCGACGCACTCCTGATCGATGTGGAGGAGAAGTGCAAGAATCCCGTAAGCAAATATAAAAAAGGAGGAGTACATATCTCAGCGGCTCACAGTATGTGCGCGACGAGTATTTCCTCGGCTCTAAACTTCGCCACCGAACCCCTCATGATTGTTAGGTTTCGTAAGCTGCACGGTTCGAGCAATGTTCTCTAGGCACTCGCGTTTCATTAACATTCGTGGCACAGAAATTAAACCGTTCTTCTAGGCGTGTGACTACACTACCTTAGCAGTGTGTCAAGGTCTTGGGCCCAGGTAATAGAATGGATCAGACCTATACCTGACACCCAAGGTCCCAATTATTCTTTGATGAAAGAATCCTAAAGAAAGGTGGTACATTAGCACAGTTTCAAAAATTGCGGCGCCTGTCACGGAAGTATTTAATCGATACTGTGAACGAAACTAGAGTAATGCACCTTAACTTCAGCTTGGTGGACTGCCGTTGCAAGGCCCCTGTATAAAGTCTTAACTATGTTAGTTTCAAAATTAAAAACCGGCCATCACAGTTAGTGGTCAGGCCTACCTGCCACAAGTGAATACGATGTAGACCACCATCCCCTCGTTTAATTTCCCACAACATAATGAAATAAAATATTAAGTAATTAATGTATGAATGCCGGCTGTTTTGTAGAGCCCCACAGCGAGGTGCCAGGGATTCATGGTGGAAGACGTAGGCAGGTGCATATTTCTAGTTAATTTGTATCGATGCCTTGAAAGGTAGGCATAGTTTGAGAAAATGTCAAATACCTCCGACATGACAAGAATATATTGCTTTAAAAATGCGCAAAATGTATTTGGCATTGCGTTATTTCAGATTGACTTACGTTTCAAAGGACTGGTCATTCAGGAGGGCGACATTTTCAAGTCGGACCGCCCTCGCCAGAATATTGAGTTGGAGATCCGCGGCCAGGCAGAAACGAAGGTCGGCTTATTGGCTGTGGACGAAGCAGTCTTCAAGCTTCGTAACAGCCACCGACTCACGCAAAAGAAGGTACAAAAAGCCATGACAAAATATCCATATTTCAGGGAAAAACTGTGAGAAGTAACTTTGTGTGATATTGTTTCTTACCTTTCTACCACTGTGTAAAGAATGTACTGACATTTTTTTGCTGTAAAGATTTACGTAACATGCTGGGTGCCATTATAGCTCACACTGTTTCATGGGAGCAAACGGCGTGCTAAGCAAGAATGGTTTCAGATAACACACGCATTTTAAAAGCGTTCCTGCAAAGCCTAGCATCCATATGGTCGTAACGATCATCGACAGCAAGCATAATGTAAAGATGCACACGGCCGCAAAAGATATGACGCTTGACGTCATTCGCCCAAGGCCTGAAAACGAAATGGCTTCTGGATCCTCTACAATTGTCGTATGGCATTTCGTTTTTGGTTTTTATACCACATCTTGAAGTTAGACTGGTACAACAGTTATGTGTTTCATTTATGGTTAACTATCTTTTTTGACAGTTGAAGGATCGTTCTTGNCATAATAAGGAGAAACGGGGAGTGCTATAAAGATATACCAATTATATGTTTGCGTATCAATGGGGACTGTTTCATGACATGCACATCTTTGCATTCTGATATGAAAGCCAGGCTTAACAAGAACTTCTGAGAAAAGAACGTTTCAGAATTTATTTGAATGAGAATAAAGCTTAATAAGCTTTCACCTCCCTCTAAAAACCGTGTGTTTAGCAAAGAGCCTTTTGCGAGTTTTTAATTTTAATAAAATCTGGTACAATGCTGCCAATAAACATAAAAAATTTGAATTCTCCGGACTAAACACACTTTTGCTATACCTTGTGATTTGGTGCTAGTTTTTGCATAGCGACCACCATCTCTAGAATGAACTAGTTCCTTTGCAACACTTTTCCACTGAAAGCAATGTTTTGGCGCAATGCGTCTCTTATGTTACTAAGCAAAAGCTTGCCATGGGTCACGAGATATGTAGCAACAGTGTCTGTAGTATGGAGAACTCAAATTGTTATGTTCACGTGAGTTTACAGAACTCAGTGTACCAGAATTTATTCCAATTGAACTCGCATAAGGCTTATAAAACATAATCTTGCTATCAGTTTATAACATCAAACGCGTCCAAATTTTAAACCTCAATGTCCTATGGAGAAAGAGTGTCATGTTTTAAAAGACCTTGATTGGTGTTCAAAAAAGTCTCTAATGACTAAAGAATCCCAAAGAAGCCCCATAAATCAGTTGAGGGAAAATTTTAGACGTCAAAAGTCTCACTGTTAATTAAGATTCATTATGGTAGGTTTTCAAGAGAATGGCCGAGTATGATTTGGGCTGTGGACCAGGAGGCGGACAAGATTCAGCGTCAATCCTCAAGGTATGACTTGCTGACAAGTACTTGTTGGTTGCTTGTTATTATTATTATGAAAATTGACATAGGCATAAAACAAAAAAAACGGTCTTTTTGAGATGATCAGGGAAACTCGGGTCTGGAACGCGTCTCTCCACAGTAAACCACACCACTCTGTCTTGAATGCAGACACCGTTTATTAAAAAAATTCGGTGTTCATTTTCCACGGTAATCAGAAAATGATAAATCAAAGATGAATGCTTCAAAACGAATTTTCTTTTTCTCTGCTTTTATATGCTTAGGACGCTGGAGTAACTGTTTTGACGAATGCAAACCTTGATATTCCGTACAGAGAAGGTATGATGTTAAAAGTCACGTGCAAATAACCACTCGTGTTCCATCAATCTCAGTTGATACAGACCAGATCCAAGTAATCAGGCTCTCAATTTTCCTTTTGTTTTTCCAAATCACAAAAAACATAACTCGCCAGGCTTACAACACTTATATAATTTCTCCCTGGCTTTTGCTGCCTTCGTCGAGGGAGGGGCTTTGTTCAATAGTCAAGGAGGACATGAGGCTCAACACGAAATAACAGAAGTCAAAAGCTCTGCTAATTAGCTTTTGACCCAACAGATTGAATGATGCAGTTGACAACCATGATCCAACTTATCTGTGGGCTATGATTATTTGTGCTTAAAAATATCTTGATAAAAGCAAAGATGAGGCTGCATGATCCCTTGGCCACGTGCATGGGAATCTTTGTCCTAACCCAAGAGACCCCTTTATATGGATTTAACCCTTCGAAGGGTGGGCAATATTTCGTTATACGTGGAAGTGGGAGCGTGACTCACTCTGAGTCACACTGTCTAATTAGGCACTATACATAGCATTTTTGCTGTCTCTATGACTTCCTTTCATCAATATTTAGTCAAATAAATACAATTCAAAAGGGTATCCCAACAAAAAACCTCACTGCTGCGGACGGCTGGGCCATCGAAAGACCACAATAACAAGCCTGGCTTGGCTCATTCCCAAAGGTTATCCTGCAGTTTGGCATTCATCCAGGGCATTGAAATTACTGCAGAGTGGCATGCTACACTGTCACTAGGGGAAAGGCATTTTTGTACACAAATATATGGGAGATCTGAGGAGAGGGTATCTTCCCGCCAAATTTGGGCCAATGCTAAATTAATCCTGTGAGTGAAACCCCCTCTAAAAGGAGTGGATGGGACGATTTTACAATGTCAGAAAGTGTGGGCCAGCTGCTGTGTTGGATTGATGTCATGTGATACAAATCATGTGTTTGTGCCTCAGCTTGAGGCACGCTTACTCGTCGGAGTATTTCAACTGGAGGCAAGCCGAACTGGATGAACCCCTTTTTTCGTTTGTTACGTTGTCACCCTTTTCCCCCAAATGTACTGACGGTGCTTGGATACTGTAAAGGGGACTTTTTTGGTCATGACGTCATTAAACTGTGCACCTGACGTTTCACATAACCACTCAAAGCGTTGACGTTGTACCAAAATGGAAAGCAGCAGACAGCAAATATTACTACCAACCTTTTCAGCAAAATCCCGACATTCGAAATATGAAAGCAATATATAGGTCATATGATATTGTATTATATGTTGTGAGTGCCAGGCTAATAAGTTAAGCTCAAGTTAGTATAACTGTTTAAAGTGAGTGATATTTCCTTGCATGAAAAGAATCCTGAAGGCCCCAAAAAATTAGGCAAGACGAAATGCGAAAAAAAGGAGTTGGGATTAAAACAATACACTCAATAATAATCCTTACTAGCTATAGACCTTTTTCCAGTGATGTCACGACGTATGATGTGTTGTGATGGTAATGATGTATAGTGTAGTGATGGTAATTTATCCGTCACCCTCCTTATGACGAACAAAGCATACTATTCGGAACGTAAAGTATTCACCATCGGTTCTTCTCAGAACCACACACTCAAAGAAAATATTCCTCCTTCTACATGCTGCAATCACAAGTTTACCTAGTTTAATTTAGTACTTCCACCATGCACAGCTTCAATTCTTGTCTACCTATTCAAAATAAACTAGTCAATCATGCAGCGTTTGCACGTACGCTGTTCATCCACTTTTTAGTGGGATGGAATGGACGTACCGAGGTAGAGTGTTTCAAAAGAAATACTGAAGTTAAGATTCTGAATGTGTGTTTCTTTTTTCAAGATGTATTTTTGCGTTGGGGAGATGTTAATTATATATAAANGATAATAAGGAGAAACGGGGAGTGCTATAAAGCGATACCAATTATATGTTTGCGTATCAATGGGGACTGTTCCATGACATGCACATCTTTGCATTCTGATATGAAAGCCAGGCTTAACAAGAACTTCTGAGAAAAGAACGCTTCAGAATTTATATGAATGAAAATAAAGCTTAATAAGCTGTCACCTCCCTCTAAAAACAGCGTGTTTAGCAAAGAGCCTTTTGCGAGTTTTTAATTTTAATATTTTAATTTTAACTGATACTGCCAATAAACATGAAAAATTTGAATTCTCCGGACTAAACACACTTTTGCTATACCTTGTGATTTGGTGCTAGTTTTTGCATAGCGACCACCATCTCTGGAATGGACTAGTTCCTTTGCAACACTTTTCCACTGAAAGCAATGTTTTGGCGCAATGCGTCTCTTATGTTACCAAGCAAAAGCTTGCCATGGGTCACGAGATATGTAGCAACAGTGTCTGTAGTATGGAGAATTCAAATTGTTATGTTCACGTAAGTTTAAAGAACTCAGTGTACCAGAATTTATTCCAATTGAACTCTCAAAAGGCTTATAAAACATAATCTTGCTATCACATTATAACATAAAACGCGTCCAATTTTTAAACATCAATGTCCAATGGAGAAAGAGTGTCATGTTTTAAAAGACCTTGATTGGTGTTCAGAAAAGTCTCTAATGACTAAAGAATCCCAAAAAGCCCCATAAATCAGTTGAGGGGAAATTTTAGACGTCAAAAGTCTCACTGTTAATTAAGATTCATTATGGTAGGTTTTCAAGAGAATGGCCGAGTATGATTTGGGCTGTGGACCAGGAGGCGGACAAGATTCAGCTACAATCCTCAAGGTATGACTTGCTGGCAAGTACTTGTTGGTTGCTTGTAATTATTATTATGAAAATTTACATAGGCATAAAACCAAAAAAACAGTCTTTTTGAGATGATCAGGGAAACTCGGGTCTGGAATGCGTCTCTTCCACAATAAATGTCTTGAATGCAGACACCGTTTGTTTAAAAAGTTCGGTGTTTGTTTTCCAGGGTAATAAGAAAATGATAAATCAAAGATGAATGCTTCAACGCAATTTTCTTTGTCTCTGCTTTTATATGCTTAGGACGCTGGTGTAGCTGTTTTGACGAATGCAAACCTTGATATTCCGTACAGAGAAGGTATGATGTTAACAGTCACCCGCAAATCACCGCCCGTGCTCTATGACTTCCTTTCATCAATATTTAGTCAAATAAATACAATTCAAAAGGGTATCCCAACAAAAAACCTCACTGCTGCGGACGGCTGGGCCATCGAAAGACCACAATAACAAGCCTGGCTTGGCTCATTCCCAAAGGTCATTCTGCAGTTTGGCATTCATCCAGGGCATTGAAATCACTGCAGAGCGGCATGCTACACTGTCACAAGGGAAAAGGCATTTTTGTACACAAACATATGGGAGAGCTGAGGAGAGGGTATCTTCCCGCCAAATTTGGGCTAATGCTAAATTGACCCTGTGAGTGAAACCCCCTCTAAAAGGAGTGGATGGGACGAACTTACATGCGTTGGATTGATGTCATGTGAAACAAATCACGTGTTTGTGCCTCAGCTTGAGGCACGCTTACTCGTCGGAGTATTTCAACTAGAGGCAAGCCGAACTGGATGAACCCCTTTTTTCGTTTGTTACGTTGTAACCCTTTTCCCCTAATGTACTGATGGTGCTTGGATACTGTAAGGGGGACTTTTTTGGTCATGACGTCATTAAACTGTGCACCTGACGTTTCACATAACCACTCAAAACGTTGACGTTATACCAAAATGGAAAGCAGCAGACAGCAAATATGACTACCCACCATTGTTCATAGACGAGGCTTTTTTCAGCAAAATCCCAACATTCGAAATATGAAAGCAGTATATAGGGTCATATTATATTGTATTATGTGTTGTGAGTGCCAGGCTAATAAGTAAAGCTCAAGTTAGTATGACTGTTTAAAGTGAGTGATATTTCCTTGCATGACAAGAATCGTGAAGGCCCCAAAAATTTAGGTAAGACGAGATGCAAAAAAAAAGAGGTGGGATTAAAAAACTCAATAATAATCCTTACTAGCTATAGACCTTTTTCCAGTGATGTAACGACCTATGATGTGTTGTGATGGTAATGATGTGTAGTGTGGTGATGGTAATTTACCCATCACCCTCCTGAAGACGAACGAAAAGCATACTATTCGGAACGTTGAGTATTCACCATCGGTTCTTCTCAGAACCACACACTCAAAGAAAAGATTCCTCCTTCACATGCTGCAACCACAAGGCTTACCTAGTTTAATTTAGTACTTCCACCATGCACAGCTTCAATTTTTGTCTACCTATTCAAAATAAACTAGTCAACCATGCAGCGTTTGCACGTACGCTGTTCGTTCACTTTTTAGTGGGATGGAATGGACGTACCGAGGTAGAGAGTTTCGAAAGAAATACTGAAGTTAAGATACTGAATGTGTGTTTCTTTTCATCATTTTTTTTGATAAAGCACTTGGTTGTACGGCTGAAAACAGGAGGGTCCAAAGATCTACAAGCGTTAACAAAGGAGAACAAATTTGTAAGTGGCGGACGATGCTCCAAAGTAATAGTTTAAGACAAATGCCAGTTTTATCCCAACAGATTATATTGAAAAAGGATCTTGTTTACATAATGTGACGAACTTCCCGTGTTCGTGGGCACCGTAATAAGTGTAATACAATTAAATTGTCAGTAGGAATCAGTTGAATGAAAAAAACACCGTCTTAACACTCTGTTTTCTCTCATTTGACATATGTTGACGAACATTACTTGTATGCATGTAAGTTTCTGTTTTCATGAGGTATATGTCTAAGGAACCAGATCGCCTACTATCTTCTTAATTATGCCTGGTATCCAACATCCATCTCCTGGAAGTTAGCGAAGGAAATATACTTACATCGTCTTTTTCTTCGGTGCCCGCAAAATTACAAGCCAACCAGCTGACCAACCAGAAGGCCCCAACGATGTAAACTTTTCAAAATAAAAGTTGTTGCACTGGTTTCCTTGGTTGGCCTGCAACTTTACAGTTGAAAGACACTAACGTTTTGGTGAAGGGTGAGTCAGTGGATAACACTGAAAGTAAACCGTACGGGTGGAACTCTTCGTTCCAAAGCTCTTCTCGTAAAAAGCCACCACTGCAGAAACTGTGGTGTTGATGTAACTAACCTTTGTGTTATCAGTGGACTTCACCAGAGTGGGTTATGTCATCTGATAACGTCCAGTGTGTTGAATAAATACCAATGTAGCACCACAGACTTTGCATGGCTTCGTGTAGCAGTTCAAACACTCCGTAACTACGGTCATTCTGGTGGACTTATTGTGGCTTTCAACTCGTTCGACGTGGGATGTTTGACAAAGGCCTCCCAGACTAGTAAACTGAGCTGCATCATGAATATTGTAATGATCCTTTTTCCAATCTTCATAGAATGATTGCTTGTATTCTGAAGGCTCTATTGCATTTTGATCTTTTGCCCGACATTCTTAAGCGATTTACAAAGTACTCGAAGTAGGCCTACCTGTACATTTTCTACTTTCATTTCAGTGAGGGAGTTTGAAAGCATTTCCAGAGGTAGATCCAGTGTCCACGATGCATCTTGGGTCAATCTGCAGGCAGTCAGTATCCAGTCGGCCTTCCCGGAGAGCTGGATGTTTGAGGAAGTCGAACTCTTGTAAGCTGTCTACAACTCAGACCCTTTTCGTGTAAGATGGACATACATGTTGTCCACCATTTGACCGCTTGAGGAAAAGCCCTCTCAACCCCCAGTGTTCACGACATAAGGCAAAAATTCAGGCTTCAATATGAAGAGAAGAGCAAAGAGAAGAGCAACAGAAAATCCTTTGGAACGATTTCTTTTAGCGGTGCTGTGGATCGACAGAAACATTAAAAGGAAGTTTCTTTCCGACTTTGATGGTTATCAACGTTAGACATCAGTCTATCGTAGAAGTTCGAATCACGCGTAATAACAGCTTAAGGGAAGAAATACTTTCTGTTTTAACAGATTAAACCCGCGACATGTTTATTAAAATTAGTTTTGGAATGCAGTTAATAGCTAAGCACCTTTTTAGGGTACACGTTAAGCTTTGTGAAATTCGGTTAGCATTTAACCACATTCCTAGACGCATTCCGATGGAAATGGATACGCCCATGGTCCCACACCCTTCGAACACTTCTCCAAGGCCACCTGACTTATTGTGACCACCAGTAGTTTTTATCAGGGTAATAGAGCCCAGACGAAGATTCTATTTTGTAAGCGGAGATGAGAAATGAAGTCATTGCAGTTTAGCGTCTAGTATTAACCGGTTTTCCTTTGCATGCCCATGGTTTTGTCAGACCCTTTGCAGGAGAAACCGGTGAAACGCTACACCGATCTACTCTACCTGACAGTGTCACTACCTGGGTCATTGAGGCAGTCGCAGTCTCTGCAGACTTTGGCCTGTGTGTGGCCAACCCGATCAAACTGGAAGTCCGCCCTCCGTTTTTCCTCGACCTCAGCATGCCCTACTCGGTCCTGCGTTTCGAGCAGATCGAGATCGTCGCGACCGTGTTCAACTATGCCGACCGCCCCTTCGAGGCAAGTCAATTATTTGGCTCATATTTAGGAAAATGAATTGCTTGCTGCATTTTTGAGATGGATACAGAGACTCAGCTTACTCTTGCTGATCAGTGACGTTACCAAGAAGAGTTTGCAGCCCCCCTCGAAACCTGTGCCTCTCGTCTGCCACCTACCTGGCTCAGAAATTAGAGCAGGAACAATTTGGGGTGGGTAGCCTTAGTCGGCGTTACACCATTCATTCCTTGACAACGAGTTCATTCTTCCCTCCAGAAAACAAGCCGCCCCCTAATGGGGCCTCTATAGAAATAGTTTACCCAGCAGTTACGACACTGTTTCTGATCCTTTTTAGGTCATATCGATAATCATGAAACAGGCATGGTATGAAGGACAGACGGCCGTATCGACAAGTGAAGTAGTCAAACTGTCTGGGGAGAGGTCGAGAAGGATGTTTTTATAATAGCTCTTTCTGGCAACCTGCCAAAGAGTGACGCACATTGACACACTACAGATTGCTTGGTGACAGCTCCCCCATTGCAATTTCAACTTGTCCCGTTGAAACCAGTGGCGGAGCCAAGGGGGTGCAGAGGGTTATAAACAGCCCCTGGGGAAACCCTTGCCCCTCTTGAATGTCTCCTTTCTGTAAAGTAATTACTGTGAATCCCTACAAAATGTTTCCTAACTAGCAACTCACCTCTCATGCTTTCAATTCGGCGTCAGGTCTCTGTCTACTTGAAAGGCAAGGACGGACTATGCTCAGTGGCTCAACCAGAAGAATACTCAGACGGCACACTCATCGAGGTTACACCCAGTGCTCCCGCCTCTGTCAAGTTCGTCATTATGCCACTCGAGGTCAAGGACATACCCATAGAAATTGTTGCCGTTGATACGACGGGAGTATACCAAAATGGCGTCGTAAAGCACTTGACCGTTCGAGTAAGTTGTTACTTTGTATGTTTGCTCTTGTGTCTGAAAGAAAAGTTTTACTCTCCTTGATCGTTTGGCGAATGCACAGGTATAAAATCGGTAAATTTTTCTTGAAGGTCTCCCATCCTAGCTCCAACACCAACTGCTTCTGAAACGAACGAAAATAACTATAAGGCGAACGTAGACGGTCCAATACCGGTCGCACTACTGAAATCACTTCTGCAAAGCTGACCCAAGTCTAACTTTCCGAAAGAAAATTGCTTTTAGCTGTGGAATATTCATATGACGGTTATCATAAGGATGATGAGAGTAAAGGGAGCTTAAAAACTTTCTTTTCTTGAGTCTTGTCATCCCTCTTCGCTCAAAAAGTTTCAAAGCAAACAATGGCACAAAAGTCATAATTACTACATCAACCTTCTCTGATTGCCAGATAACTTATTAGACTTTCAGTAATAAAGTCTATTAGACTGAAAGGTCTGAGAGAAACACTGGGTATCACTTACCGATTCTTTTCCGAATCATTATCTTGCCTTTTCCAAGATACTGCCGGGTGGACACGGCGCGATTTTGGATCGAGGAGGTCTGTTTTGCCTCTGAATTGAATTTTTACCACGTGAAACGAATCTGGTCATTTGCCTTGATTCCCGATTAAGAAACTCATGTATAATGAGCAAAACTATGCCTCGGTATTACGTTCGGCCACATCTGATGTTTCTTTATGACATGTAATGTTAACGATGAATAGCATACCAATGCAATACATATTTCCCTTACCGCGTTAACATTGAATGGCGATGGATGCATCAAACCTTTTAATGTCAGCACTCCCTTTCGTCTTCAGCAGTTTAAAAAGATGGAAAGGAAATCGATGTTCAATACACCATGACTTCATCATTCTCTTGCTGCGGACCTTTTTCTTAAAGCGATCAGGCTCTGCTTCCACTCGGAAATTTAGAGTGGAACTCATTGTACAACTTTAAGTCATCCTCGGAGGTCTGATTAAGTTATATTTCACTGGTGTTAATGTCGTACACACCCCTGAAGTTTTTTTTTTCAAAACCCGACAAAACACAAAAGCGTTCAACTCCCCTCTCTCTCTCTCTCT